CACGACTGGCTGCTTGCTGAGAAAATGTATCTGGTTTTGCAAAAGGTGGGTGGGGCTGGGTCTCAGGGAGTCACCAGGGTGGTGTGAGTGGAGCTCACCAGGCCAATGCAGATTCAGATTTGGCCATGTCGGGGGAGGGGGGGGGCTCAGCACAGGAAAGATGACACCTGCCTGCTGGCTATATGGGAGGAAGATTCTACACAGGGAAAATGGCAACTGTCTCTTTAGTCCTTGCCTTGAAACCACACAACTTGGTCTCTCCCTGTATGTCTCTGATGCCACCCAAGTCACTGTCCATTCTCCAGAGCCTAGAGTGAGTACCTGTGAGCAAGTGAGTCTATGTGTGGACCCTTTAAGAGAATGTCTCTGTTTCCTGCAGCCTTCCACCCCACCCAGATGGTCAGAATCCCCACTGTTTTTCATAGCCAGATGCTGTGGGAGGCTCCTCTACCCAGCACCAGTCCCCTGGGCTGGGGAGACCAGTATGGGACTGGGGTCCCTTGCTTCTTTGGGGAGAACCTTCACAGCTGAGATATCTCTCCCGATTCTCAACTGCCACACAGAGGATCGGGTCCAGCCCGTTCCATGTCTCTGCCCCTCCTACCAATCTTAACATGGCTTCTTCTTTATATCCCTACTTATAAAATTTCTGTTCAGCTAGACTTCAGATGGTTCTCCAAGTTGATTGTGCTATAATTTAGTTGTAATTTTAATGTGGTCACTGGAGGAGGCGAGCACAACATTTATCTACTCTGCCATTTTGGATCCTTCTCCCAGTGTAGTTCTAAGAAAAACTCTTTAAAGCTGTCGGGTATTCTTATGACAGATAAATTTCAGAGATGACTCCCAATGATCTCTGCCTTCTGATACCCATGACTTTGTGTAATCCCTTCCCTTTGAGGGTAGACCAGACCTAGTAAACAGCACGGTGGTGGGACATGGTTGGACAGAGGGTGAGTCTGGTTAACACTCTCAACCCTACCTACTTTCTCACCTGGCATAATGCTGAGTTGAAAGCCAGTGAGTCAGCCATGGGGCTCACTGTGGTAAGGGGAAGGGTCCCACCACAGAGCCTGGCCAGGGAACTCAGGCTCAGCGGTCTGTTGACCTCTGAGGGCTGAGGAAGGCTGAATCAGTGGGAAGGCTCACAGGTCCATGAGGCACGACATCATCAGCAGACTGGCAGATCCAACAGACAATGTCAGGCCAACTCTACCTTAGTGCTAGATTGGCCAAGACAAACATGGGGCTGAGGACAGTTCTTGCATCCCCAGACTCCTCATGCCATCACCATGAGCTCACAGGAGGCCTCCTCAGCTCATACACCAGATACCACCTTGAAAAAGGTGGGCATGGAAATAGGGGACTGAGATATAATTCCCCTAAGAATGAATAGCAAAGGGACTGTCTACATTACTGCATCTAACTAAGGTGGAAAATCAATCTATACATTAATGATCTTTCCTCTGCTACCTGACAGGCAGCTGCTCAGGAGGAAAACCACATCAGGTATAGACCAAAACAAAAGAGACCACATTTTCTCTTCCTCTCTGACTGGTAGTATAAATTTGCCATCCAGTGAAAATAAACAAAAAGCATAACTTGTGCTTGTTCAAATCTATGATTCATAAATTTTTTTAAAGCACAATCATTCTTTGCAAGCTGAAGTTTGACTTCACCTTTATTTTATAGATGGAAAAGAGGCTGGAGCTTATTGCACTTGAGGGATTTGCGGACAGAGTGACTAAATCTTCAGTGCCTCTTCATGAGGTGGGCCTTTGCTCTCAGTCTGGTAAATATAGAAACTAAATTTTTATCATTTCTTCCCTGGAATAACAAGGATCAGAGGAAGTGGCTCATCTTAAAACTCAGGAGAGCTGAACTAATAAAGAATACTGAGTTCATTTAGTCGCAGTGAAAAATGTAACTGTAGTTGACTGGGATGCTCCAAGATACTGAATGTTAGGGCCAAAGGGATATTTGAGATAATTTAGTCCAGGCAACTGAGACCTGGAGAGGTGAAAACACGCACTCAAATTTAGACAGCTTGTTCATGGCAAGGTTGGAACTCAAACCTTGATCCCACCCCCCGTTTTATAAGGACTCTAGAATTCGACTCAACCACTACCTTTGCAGAAGAGTCTATGTGAGAAACCAAGTCCAAACTAGAAGGCTCCTTAGTAACCATGGAATTAGAATAAGCAGAGGGGAATTCTTCTCTGGGCCCATCTTTCAGAGATACAAATTCAGACTAACCTTTTTCTAAATTCCATGAAGAAAGACAACTGGATCTTTACTTAGGTCATAAAAATGGTTACTTAGGGTATGTTATTTTTGAGTTAAATACTAAGCCCAACACACATTCTTGATTGTATTGCAATATGTCCCAACTCATTTAGGAATAACAACAGATGATGATAGCTTCCATTATTGAACATTTGCTGTATGTATTGGGTTGAGCACTTTACATGCTTTATCTCTTTATTAGCAGAGTTACAAATAATCTCTAAGGATCTACTAGTTACCACCTCAGAACATGGTCTTTTCCCCACATCTATGGTCCTCTGTGACCTGTGTAGCTACATGGCTGACTGGCCATATCGGCAGCTGAGCTTTGTGTGGCTGCCCCAATGTCCCACCTCTCCTCTCTCAGCTCCCAGGGACCCTGCACGCCTGTGTCTCGAAGGACTTTGAGGGCCCTGGGAATTCTTGGGGCTGCCCTGGGCTCTCTTGAGCTCACACTTTCTCTTTTACATGGATTCAAATCTCCCTTTTGGCTTGTGTATGAAGCTGCTGAGCTGCTGTAGAGGACATTGTGTTTTGTTTTCAACAAGAAGAAGGGAAGAATAAATAGAGGCACTGACTAAAAACTGGAAATGTTTACAAGAAATTTAATCTTCCAGGGATACAAACATAATATAGTAAAGTGTGTGTAAGTCATCTGGATTTATGGTCTACACCTTAGGATTTGGAGTGCTGTGGGTCCCTTCATAAGAGCAAATGGCAGACGAATCAGCTTGGGCTGCCCCAGAACTGTGAAGGAGAGACTGAGAGTGTAAAAGGCTACAGATGCTTGTAGGGCAGCTGTGCTGCTGTCAAAGGGCTTCTGAGAAGCTGACTGAAACAGGAGACATGGGGGTTGGGTGGGGCCGAGGAGGAGTTACCAAGGAAAAAAGAAAGCAAACCTGGATTAGATTCCAGGGCAGAAGATGGCATGTTGGGAACAGTGGACCCCTTTGCTGTCTCTACCTGGTCTAACCATTCAGATCAATGTGACCGTCAGGAACAGAAGAGCTGATAACAACAAACTAAGAATCGACTAAAAGACTGTGCACTTCATCAAAGCTTCTCTGGTATTTCTGTTTCATTTCTTAATCAATGATTGAAACATAAAGAAATCCACGAAGGCCTTTTTTATTATGTTAAAATATGCATAATGTAAAATTTATCCTCTTAGTCACTTGTTCAGTGTCATAAAATACATTCTCATGGGTGTGCAACCATCACCACCATCCAACTCCAGAAATTTTTCATCTTCCAAAACTGAAACCCTGTAACCATTAAACTTTAACTCCTCATCTCCTCCTCCCTGCAGCCCCTGGCAATGACCCTTCTATTTCCTGTCTATAATTTTGACTATTTTATGTACCTCATATAAGTGGAATTACACAATATTTGTCATTTTGTGGCTTACTTTACTAAGTGTATTTCCTCAAGGTTCATCCATTTGTAGCATGTGTCAGAATTTCCTTCCTTTTTAAGGCTGAATAATATTCCCTTTTATGTATATTCTACATTTTAAAAAATCCATTCATCCATTGATGGACACTTGGGTTGTTTCCATCTTTGGTTATTGTGAATAATGCTGGTCTGAACATAGGTGTGCCAATATCTGTTCAGGTCCCTGCTCTCAATTCTTTTGGGTGTATACCCAGAAACGGAATTACTGGGTCATGTGGCAATTCTGTGTTTAATTCTTTTAGGAAATGCTATACTGTACACAAATACTTTTATAGTGACTCTGCCAGCTCAGACAAACCCATTATCTCCCTAAAACTAAGTAAGAATGATTTCAGATTATCAGAGATTTTCTGTTATATGGTAGCACTGGGTTGGAACATTTTAATTTGACAAAAGATCCATTTTATTTTTTAAAAAGTATGGAAAAGGTCTCACTGAAGTCAGCCTCTCCTTTGGGAGCCTGGCCTGTGTCCCTCAATCTCATTTGGTGAGGAAGACAGGATAAGGGCACCATAGATGTCCCCATCTGAATCCACAGGCCCTCGTATGGCAAAGGGGACTTTGCCGGCTTGATTAAGGACATTGAGATGTGGAGATAATCCTGGGTTATGCAGGTGGGTCTAATGTAATCACAAGGTCCTTAAAGGTGGACATGGGAGGTAGGAGAGACTCCAAGATAGATGTGACTATGGAAGAAAGACACAGAGAGAGACAGCGTTTTGAAGATGGAGAAAGAGGCCACGAGCCAAGAGATGTGGGTGGCTCAAGGGGAAGGAAATGGATTCTTCCCTAGAGCCGACAGAAGAACACAATTCTGCCTTCACCTTGATTTTAGTCTAGTGAGACCCATTTCAGATTTCTCACCTCCCGAACTCAATGTAATAAATTTGTGTTGTGCAAGCCACTAAATTTGTGGTGATTTAGTATAACAGTGGCAGGAAACTAATATAGAGGAGTCCCATAGAGTCCTGTGTTTACAGTTTATACTTTCCATGTTGTCTGCCCTGAGAGCAGGCGCTGTGCCCACCTGTTCACAGCATGACCCCCAACCCCCATCATAGGACTTCATGGGAGAGGCCTGATGAGCACTCACTAAAGAAACACGAGTATTATTGTATGTCAACTGTAATTATATATACATATAGTTACGGGACATGGAGAGTGGGAATGGAGCCAATGGAATTGTAATAGATAAGCATGATATCGGGGATGGGAGGGCAGTAGATGGGGGAGGGGGGTTGTTACTTTGTGAGGGTGAAAAGGATAACTATTGCATTGTTCTGTACACCTGAAACTAACAATAAAAAAATTAAAAAAAAAAAGAAAGAAATACGATGACTGGGTCACACTGTGTGTCAGCACAAAAGAAACGAGGGACAAGCCAGGCCCAGGTGGGGCGCCATGCTGTTCTAAAACACGATGGCTTCACCTAGCTTTAAGAGCTTGGACAACAGCCCTAGTGGGGGACTGATGTGCTCCCACTCGTACACCTGGTCTCCATATTTATCAAAAATGTGGTTCTGTTAAGAATGGCTCTACTTAAATTACTGACCAGACACTAGTTTCAATCATGGTAAATGGGTAATTCATTTAACCTCTTTGAACCTCATTAAACAAAATCTTCTAAATTGGGATAGTATTACTTCACAGGGTAGTGGTAACTTTTAAATTACCTAATTTATGAGAAAATACCTTAAAAGCCAGCCAATAATAGGCACTTAAGGACTGAGGAAACCATTCCATGATAAATCCAGGGTCAAGGTGTTCAAGGTCACTGATTCTCAGTGAAGTGTCATCTTCTCCCATTTTCACTCTTTCTGGGGTATGTGAACAAATTTGTTTGCTTGCCTTGCATCTGAGCCCCCTGTTACCTTCCTTTCTTCAGGAAAAGGGAAAGAAAGAGAGATGGGTAGGTGAGGGGAAGCTTCTCAGTATTATGAGTCTGAAGAGAGCCAAGAGCTTTGCTCTCTATTTCTCTGATATAAGAAATTTTCCTATCTCATTAAGAGAGTTTGAATCTGTTCCTAGCCTCAGTTTAAAGGGACTGCTACCTTTACAAAGAACAAAGCTTTTTGAGAAATTTAAACAATGCCTTTGAACATGTTTTTATTATAGTGCCAGTGTTTGTCAAAATTTTAAGATCAAAGAATTCTGGATAGATTTATACAATAGTGAATGCTTTGCAAAAAATACTAGATTTTTTGAAAGGGCATGTCAAGTATTAAACATCCATGGTTCCATTTTATTTTCTTTTCCCACTAAGGAAAGCAGTCTCGAATGAACTCCTTTTAATTTTTAAAAACTTTAAAATTTTTTTGGTAAATTATATATAACATAAAATTTACCTTTTTACCCATTTTTAAGATTTCAGTGGCATTAAGTACATTCACTTTGTTGTATACCCATCAACACTGTGCATCTCCAGAACTTTTTCATCATCCCAAACTGACCTTTGTATTGTAAGAAACAAATTGCGTCAGGGAATTTAGAATCCACATTTTCTTCTTGACTGTATTTAGAATTGTTCTAATGTTCTATATAAATATCACATGCTTGTTTGAATGTAAGCAGCTAAAAATGGCTCAACAGAAAATGGGAAGGGAAGAGGAAATCTTTATCAAGTGTCTACCAAGCCCAACATGTTACATATTCCACACAACAATCTGTGAGGTGGAAACTGTTTTCCCATGTTACAGAGGAGAAAGCTGAGGCATAGACAAGTCAAGAAGCTTGTCCAAGGTCATGTAACCAGGAAGTAGTAGAACTGAGACTCAACCCCCATCTGCTTTTCCATGGCACCGTGTTCTCAAGTTTAGACCACTTTCAGCACAAAGGAAAGGAGGAGGAAGGGAGTGGGTGGGATGTGAGCGTTAGGACTGTTGGGTTGCTAGTTACTGGAAGATGCTTCCAGCAAAGTATGAGTTCTGCTTTGTCAGAGATTTTTAGGACCAATAGTCAGCACTTTTACTGCCTTGTGTACCATCAGACTGAAAGAAACTCTAAAGGATTTCTATTATTTTTGGTTGCATTAAAGTGGCCTCATTGTTACCTGTCTTTGTGAAATAGTGACAATAGGGACAAAGATGGGGAAGGGACAGATGAAGAGAGCTAGTGGCAACAGAATATCATGGCAGAGGAAAAGATGTCTGGGTGAGGCTGCTGTTCCTGGACATCCCTGTTTTGCTCAGAATATCAAGGAGGCAAGTGCTGAAAAGGAAGTAGGTGGCTATTTCATGGATACAAGGACGGTGGGCTTTGCGAGAGAAATCTCATCCTCCACAGAGATAAGCCGGAAATTTTGGCCTCATTTCTAACCAGTACTCATTCTGGTACTGTTGCAACCCTGGGGCTGCTTCTTAGGAAGACATAGTTAGAGTTATATCAAGACTTAAAACATATTAGCAAATTTTTGTCAGTCTCTGTGATAGACATTGTATGGTAATTGTTTTACTTGCATCATATCTCCAAATGACATGAAAACTTAGGTTCTGTTATTGCCTCTATTTAAAACAGATGAGTGAATGATGGTCATGTGGCCTGAGATGGGACTTTAATTGAGGTCTACCTGTACCCAAGTCCATTCTTGTACTTACCATAATGCTCTGACATCTTGAAGTCACATGCACATACTCGTAGGTATTAACCTTGGCTCCACTACTTACTGCCCTGTGTCACTCACTGAGTCTCATCTGTAATCTTATGGATAGTGGGAATTGTACTACGTATTTTACTGGATAGCTATGAAGATTAAGTAACATTACCCACATGAAAATTTTGGTTAGATAGATACATGTCATGGGTTGAATTGTATCCCCCCAAAAGATGTGTTGAGGTCCTAACTCCCAGTACCTCAGAATGTGACCTTATTTGGAAATAAGATGTTTACAGAGGTAATCAAGTTAAGATGAGGTCATTAGGGTGGGCCCAAATTCAATATGACGAATGTCCTTATAAAAGGGGAAATTTGGTCACAGAGAAAGAGCTACACAGAGGGAAGATGATATGCAGACACACAGGAACAAGGCCACGTAGAGATGGAGGCTTAGAGTGATGCATGTATAAGCCAATGAACACCTGGGATACCAGAAGCTAGCACAGGCACAGAATAGTTTTTCCCTGGGACCTTCAGAGGGAGCATGGCCCTGCTGATACCTTGGTTTCAGACCTCTAGCCTCCAGAACTATGAGACAATACATTTCTGTTGTTCTAAGCCACTCAGTTTGTGGTAATTTGTTACAGCAGTCCTAGCAAAATAATACAGTACACAATAAACATTATTTTTCTTCCTTAGACCATTCCTGCAACAACAAATATTTTAAACTAAGTGCTGGAGACTTCTTCAAAGTGAACAGGACCTTATTTCTGCTCTCACAATGCTTATGTCCTAGTAAGGCAGATAAAAAGTCAACAAACGATTACAGTAGTGTGTGACAAGTGTTGTGCTGCAGTTAAGGTAAGAGGAGAGGGCGCTAGGGAGCTGGAAAGTGGGCCTTTGACCCAGCCTGGGCATCAGACGTGATATTCTGAAAATAACAGGGCAGCATTTTGGATAAGAGCAAGGCTGTCATGCTGCAAAGTTGTTAATGACTTTGTGGTTATAAACGCATTCCAAGTTGATATGAAAAATGACAGGGAACAAGTAAGATGGAGGAAACCAATGTGTTTGTTTCACTTAGCAGTTTTACCTCCTGAATAATTTTTAGCAAGGATGCCTCCTTATAAAGTTTGGATAGTAGGTAATGGTGAGTGGGCACTGGGGTAGGGTGGGGTGATGATGAGCTCAGGCACCATCAATCAACAGGCTGAGACCAATGTCTTTCTGAGGCAGAATATTCCCTTTAGTTAGCTGTCCTTCTTCAACATATATCATGTCGAGGGGAAAGATTTGCCTAGGCCACTGGGTAAGGTTGTGCAGGTTGTGGACTGTACAAAGGGAGATAGGGGACTGAAATCCAGAATATACTCACTTACCACGGCATGTGCCTGGGCATGAGCCTGTGTTTGCCCAGAGGACCAGGACCCCTTTGCTTTGCATAAAGATATGACCTTCTTGCTAAGTCACATGCCACTGATTCCGGTCCCACCCAGAATTCTGGTTTCTAATTTACACAAAAGTGTCATTAATCCTTGGTGGTAGACCCAAGCAGGGCACTTGATCTGGTTATATGACCAAGCACCTGTTTCTCCGAAAATACGCCTATTCTATGTGTTGGAAGGCTGTCCGAGAAATCCTTGTTATACAGGTAGACACTGGATCCACGGAAGCTCTGATTGTGCTCCCCTCTCGTTAGCTAAACTACTGCCTGCTGGTTAACTTGCTAGTGTGAACCTTTGCTATAGGGCTTTTGGCTCATACTCCTGAGGTTGGAATCCTATCTGGTGTTTGTGGAACGTAGAGAGCAAGGGACACAAGAAAGCTTAAGCAATTGGTTAATACATGTTAGTTATAAATGTTGTCTGTGTAGCTAGGATAATGGTCTCTACCAATTTCATTCTTGTCATATACATAAATGTTTAATACTTTGTAAATTACTCTGAGTTTGGAGTTTCTTCTCCTCTGGACCACACCACACATTTACTTTCGGCATAAGGTAAATGGAAATCCTGCGGGGGCGGAGAGGTGAGCGTCAGTCCAGAATATGAACAGAAAATGGGTCCTCATGCTTATTGTCAGGGGGGTGGTGAGGAAGGGACTCTGTTCACAACAGGAGCAATACATCCTGTCTGTCTTTGAGTAGCAGGAAGAACAATGCGGAAGTTACAAGTAAGTCCAAGTGGACTTCCAGATGTCAGTAGGGAAACAGACGGAGCTAGGGTGGGAGTCCTTGTAAGGAAACGGCTTCCTGTTCCGGTGTGGCTCTGGGGGAGGGAAATCCTGCTCACCAGCAAAACTGGAATCTCTTAAGTGTTAGTCTGTGGGTTCACAGGAAGACCCTCTGACAATAATAACTTAATTAAATAGCACTGACTTATCACTTACTTGTATATCACAGAATCTCTCCAGACTTTCCTCACATTCTTTGCTGGTGATGTCTGGGCATCTCATGTCAGCGCAACAGCAGTTTTTTCCTGTTTTGTTCTTCAGCACCCTCCTCCTTGGACTGTTGTCCGAGCTCTTACAGCTATGGAGAGGCAGAATGCTGCTGCTATTGTGTGTTTGGGGGGCAGCATGGCGTTTGTGTCCAGGCCTGGTTCTCCCTCCTCTTTCTGTGCTGTGTAAACTTCCCTAGGTTTGTGGAATAAGCCATGATGTGTTGTACCCTCTTACCCCTGTACCACATTGCCATGGGGGCACAAAACGCCCCTGGTGCCCTGGAGTTTCTCTGAATTCCTTGTCAAGTCAGCTCCTGGTTAGGTTCTGGCTGCAGCTTCTCCTTGAGGACCTCATACATTCAAGTGGCTGGGTGGGGAGAAGGGACACTAGGTCCTCCTTTGCACTCCTCTGCCCCCAGGAGCTTACCCACACGTTGAAGCCAACACCATCACTTCCACCCCCAAAATATTCAGAAGAGATGACATGGTGTGCTTTGCTAAGGCGAGGATTGATTTTCTTCCAACATTGTGCTAATTTTAATTCCTAATTTTTAGGTCGGCTTCTCCAGCCTTGCAGGGCCAATGAGAATGAGCTCCCTGAGAGAAAGAACAGGGGCCACTCAGCTCTCAGCGATGACTTTAGTGGCTTGTTCCTGATACCAAGATTCTGGAAGCCTGAATATGGCTGGTAAATATTGAAGTCAAAACACACAAAATATCGAACAATGGAATCCAATTTAAAAATTGAACAGAAAGCAAACAACTGTAACCAGGTAGCCCTCAGGATATGAAACTGAAGGGGGGAAAAGCCGACATGAACAAACAAATAGTTGGTATTTTGGGAGGCAAGAGTTGGCAAATCCAATATGATTATGAAAAACTGCGGCCAGGGAGCAAAGGAGGAGAGATAAGCACCTTTCTCCTCTACCCACGCTGGGGGAGGAAGTCATTGTTAAGAGCTGCAGGCTTGGCCCACTTGGGCTTGACCCCAGGTAACCAATAGAGGACTTTCTGCATTGAGATGTCTTTCAGTTCCTTACCAAAAAAGAGGAGGGAGAAGGAAAAATAGAAGGGAGTTGCTGTGGTCTGAATGTTTGTGCCCCTCAAAATTCACATGTTAAAACCTAACTCCTAATGTGATGATATTAGGAGGTGGGACCTCTGGGAGGCGATTTCTTCATAGGATGGAACCCCCATGAATGGGATTAGTGCCCTTATAGAAGAGACCCCAGAGAGCTCCCTCCGCCTTCTGCCATGTGAGGAGAAAGTGAGAAGGCAGCTGTCAAGATCCAGGAGACGTGCTCTCACCAGACACCAAACCTGCTAACACCTTGAACTTCCCTCCTCCAGAACTATGAGAAATAAATTTCTGTTGTTTACAAGCTTCCTATTCTATGGTATTTTTGTTATAGCAGCCCAAATGGACTAAAACAGGAGGAGAAGTTACGAAAACCATGATCCTGGCTCTGGTACAAGTTACAGCTCATGAGCATTATTTTTCTGTGGAACACTGTTAGGCTCTGAAAAGCAGCAGTGAGCAGAAAGAGTGCCAGTGGCTGTTGGCTCTGCCTGTCTAGCTCTGGGCCCATGCTGCAGGCACCATATCTGCCCAAATTTTCCAACACCTCCTTCTCATCACCCTCAAAATAGCTGCTCCCTGCTCCCTGGCCCTGCCCCTCCAACCTCTGCTCCCTTCATGGAGTGTTTGTTTGGGGTTTGATGCTGCCTCCCTGTTCAGACACCCTTCTCAGGCTGGCATCCTCTCTCTTTCCTCCATTTGTCCCATCCCCTTGGAACCCTGCATGAATCCTCACCCCCTGGGTCAGTCCCACACTTTCCACCACTGAAGGAGACTCAGATAACATGAGTCGTACATGAAAAGGGGTGGGGACATGCTCGCTAAAGAGAGTAACCTCTCTCCAGGGAGGGTGCAAAAGAGTTGTTGAAGAGGGTGTCAAGCGGACCCTTCGGCAGGGGCATGGGCTTAGAGTGAGATCTGGGTCCACAGTAGACCTCAAATGAGCAACACTTGCTGATTCGTTGAGTTTCAGGGATCACAACTAAGTGTTAACAGAAAAGCCTTTACTTGGGTGTAAGTCTCTTTTAAATTATACTTTTAGTCTAAAATGAAGTTTCTGCTACCTAATGGTAGCAGAAATGCAGTGTCTCCTGGTCCTCGGGAATGAAACACCAGGGTTGATAGGCAGGGAACCACAGTTGGGACTGCTCCCTTCATGGATGTTAGGACCTCAAAAGTCTTATCCTTCCTTCAAGGTACAGTTCATGTGCACTCCACCATGACGCCAACCCACATGCCGTTCCCACAAAAGCAGTGTTTCATTCTTCTCTTTGGTTACCACTTGGCTACCCACCATAAGAGATTTTCAAAACTTTCCTTCTTCCGTTTTCTTAAAATATAAGTTGACTTTAGACAGGGATTATATTATATACTATTCATTTTTATGTTCTACTTGTATGTCCTATATTTTATGTTCTATTCAACACAGGGGCCAGCAAGTACTTGGTGCTGAATAAATATTGAAGAAAGGAAAGAAGGAAAGAAGGAAGGAAGGAAGGAAGGAAGGAAGAAGAGAAGGAAAGAGAAAGTGGCAAAGCCAAACTATTCTGATCCATTCATCCCTGTGGGTTTGAGAGTGAATGACCAAAGATTTCTTTTGTTGAAGAGCACAGTGGAGTTCCTTCGAATCATGAAACTATATCAGTGTACTCCTGGGCCAGCCGCGTGGCTTAGGTGATTAGAATGCGAGCTCTGAGCAACAGGATTGCTGGTTCAATTCCCACATGGGCCAGTGAGCTGCGCCCGAGCTGAGCTGCCGCTGAGCTGGTGAGAGCGTGTGCTCTTAGCAACAAGGTTGACGGTTCGACACCTATATGGGATGATGGGCTGTGCCCCCCTCCCCCCACTTTCCTGCAACTAAGATTGAACAGCACAACCTGCCGACAGGAGACTGGGTGGCTCAGTGTGCAACAAGGTTGCTGGTTTGACTCCTGCATGGGATGGTGAACTACGCCCTAACCCTTGCAACTAGATTGAAAGTGGCTACTGGACTTGGAGCTGAGCTTGTGCCTTCCACAACTAAGATTAAAGGACAACAACTTGACTTGGAACTGATGGGTCCTGGAAAAACAATGTCCCCCTCCCCAATTCCCCAATAAAAATCTTTAAAAAAAATCAGTATACTCCTTAAATATCCATGGACTTTGTTTTTTCCTGCTGTGCTCGCATCAGTGAATTAATCTAATCCCTTTTAGCCTACCTTTGTTTTTAGCTTGTTTGCTGCTTGAATGAACAAATTCTGCAAGCCCACAATTAAAACCATAAAACGTTCTTATTCTATAATCTCCAACCAAACAGCAAGGGCAGCATTAGCTAGTAAGAGCTTAGGGTGGAGTCAGACAGATTTGAATCTCAGCTCACCGAGCTCAGGAGCTTGGGTAAGCAAGGGCCAGTTACCCCACTTTATTTATTTATTTATTTATTTATTTATTTATTTATTTATTTATTTATTTAGCTGAGCCATCCTGCCACCTGTTGGCAGCTCGGGCCAGGACTCGAACCGCTGTTGCTCAGAGATCAAACTTTTGAGCGAGCTCTTAACCAACTGAGCCACTCGGCCGGCCCCAGTTACCCCACTTTAATAACCTCAACTTCCTCTTCTATACCAGGGATCATCGTATCACTTACTCAGGGGTTGTTACCAATATTAAATATTGACATTCAGGTAAAATGCCTCACACAATGCTGGGTACATAGAAAATGTTCAAAGAATTCTTAGCTTTTAAAATTTTGTTGTTATTATTGTTGTCTTTCTATACTCACACAAGATCATCTTTTTAGGCTACATTTATGTGGAAACCATGTTGTATCTCTTTGATCATTTCAATGATATTCTCTGGCCCTTTCTCAAATGTTCTTCCACATTTCTGAGTTGAAAAAAGGGAGGGATAGCCACAATAAAATGATACAGGCTTATGTGGCATGGATGTTTTCATTCTTCCATCATTGGTCGGGTTTCAGGAAATCCATAAAAATATTAGCTAGGGGAAGAAATCATTGTTTTTAGTTAGAATAATATCAATGCATACATTCTTTTCCTCAGGATTGAGGAGACCAAGATACTGGAGGAAATAATTTTGTTTTCTCACACATTTTAAAGGAAAGCTGGCTTAAAGGAAAGACAAAAAATTCAGGCTGGTACATTTGAAAGCAGCAGAAGGCTTCAGGTCCAAAAACCAAAGCCAAAACCAAACCAAAACAAAACAAAAAGATCTGATGTTATTTGCAAGCTAGATATAAAATAGCTCTTTCCCAAATCCTCTGGAACCCCTGCTTGCCAGATAAAATGGCCGGGGAACTTGTTTTACTGACTGAGAAAAATGTAGCTGATTCAAATCTGACACTGAACTGCTATGATGATAAGCTTTCTCTCCCTAACAATTCCGTTAAAATCAGGATGTGGCCCTTTCCGTTTTCTCACTAGCTATTTTTGGGTTATTTTTCTGAAGGCAGATGTAATTGTTAAATTTGCAGATGTCACATTCAGTTCTTCACATCTTGCATTTCTCTCTCTCTCTCTTTTACAAAATACAACTTTAATTAAAAATTACACACATTTTCTTTCCTAGGTTTTTTGGGCCTATTTATAATGTTTCTGTTTTTTGGGAAAACTAAATGTTTTCCTTAAATTCTTTTTAGAGCTCATGGTCAGAGCACATGCCTCCATTCAAGGTCTAATAAAACGAGCAACACTTAGGAAAAATCAAGGTACCATTTCAGGACTTAAAAAGGAATGTGCGCTTATAGTTGAGGTCTGGGCTCAAAAACCTTTTGCCCTATTGATACAGGAGGGATAGGAGAGGTAAATTAGGAAAAGGGACTTCAGTTATACCTCTCAGGGAATGAATGTTCATGTCACTCCCCAATCCATTTGTTGAAATCCTAACTCCCAATGTGACAGTATTAGGAAATGGGCCTTTGTAAGGTGATTAGGTGATTAATGCTCTTATAACAGGGACCCCTGAGAGCTCCCTCACCCCTTCTGCCATATGAGGGCACAATGAGAAAACAGCTGTCTTTGTATGAACCAGGGATCAGGCCCTTATCAGACACCAAATCTGTTAGTGCCTTGTTCTTGGACTTTCCAGCCTCCAGAACTGTGGAGAATAAATTTCTGTTGTTTGTAAGCCACCCAGTTTATGATATTTTTGTTACAGCAGCCCAAAGTGACTAGGTACCCCCTTAACATAATAATACCTCACTTTTTTGTTTGTTTGTTTGTTTGTTTGTTTTTAGCTGAGCCATCCTGCTACCTGTTGGCAGCTCAACGGCTGCTCAGCTTGGGCTGGACTTGAACCGCTGTTGCTCAGAGCTCAAACTCTTAAGCGAGCTCTTAACCAACTGAGCCACTCAGCCGGCTCAATAACTCACTTTTATTGAGTTACATGCCAGGTACTGTTCTAAGCACTTTACATGCATTCTTTCATTTAATTCTCACAGTATTCTATAAGGTAGGTATTATTATCCTCCACACTTAACAGATGAGGAAACGGAGGCTCAGAGAATTGCCTAGTAATAGCTAGGGGAGAGTGAGAATTGAAAGCTGGCCTGTCTAATTCTAGATGTATTCTGAACTCCTAGTATCTGTCTCCTTTTTCTCCCTTTACCCCTTTCACACTCTCCGAGTTTCCATTTAGGGAATGGTGTGGTTCCAGTGAAACTACTCCAATCTAGCTTTGGGGGTGGGTCACATGACTTAGGCTAAGCCAATCATTGCAGAGCCAAAGTAATTGGTCAGGAGTGGTCATGTGACCCCAGATATTACACTCAGAATAAATGGCAGGGTTTTGGGATAAAGGTGTCTCTCAGTTTTTGTACTTTGGGCAAGTGTGAAACCATTTGCTATTATAGGAAGGACTGTCTGAGGGTGAAGCCAATATTCAGGGAGGCCAGAAGTAAAAGAGTTGCAGAGAAAGAGTTAAAGCGCTGATGACAGTATGGACAGGAAGGGCCTGTAGCATCAAAATGACTGAAGCTGGCTGATTCCCAGTAGGATTCTTTGGTTCTAGGGGCATAGCATAATCTTGAACCAAACTGATTTTTTTTTCAGGGAAGTTTGTCAGGGAGAAACTTTTAGAATACTAGTTGGTGATTTTGAAACAGCAATAATGTAAATTAAGTTCTCTGTTCATGCACACTCACGCCCCACACCAGGTGCACACATAGATGGTTCTCCTAAGAGAGCTTGCTTGGGGGTTGCCTTCCTCCCACTTAATACCTCCTGCTTCCTGTATGGCAATTTCAAACTTCGTTTTAGTTACTGTGTTCTGCCAGGGTGTTAAACAATGATGATGACTCTGGCTGTTTCTCCTAATAAGATCTTAATAAGAGACCTGTAAACAGTGCAAAATTTTCCCAACTTGCAGGAATAAAATTCACAGTGAAATTTAAGGCCCATGACAGGACAATAAAGATAGACAAATTTGGGGCCCGAGAAACACTTTCTTTTTCTTTTATATCACACACTTAGTGCAGCTGCTGGGTACTCAGTCGTGGCTAGGGTCAGCCCCATATATGAAAATCCCTGTTTAACCCAAATCTATAATATCTGAAACCCTCTCTCATTCACATACATATATACATATGAATTTTAAGAAGAAGGTGAAGAGTAGAAAAAGGGAAGAGCTGAGTTGTAGAAAAATAGAAAGTGAACTCATTCCCTATTCCCCACCCGGTCTTTGGAAGGCCGTGACAGATGTCCTGAGCGGTTGGGATAGACTCAGAATCTACCCAGGGCCTTTTCTGGAGTAGGGAAGTTTACTGAAGAGGGAGCAGTGGAATATCTCACTCGTGGGAATGGCAGGAATGATGAAGGATCGGAAACTCAGTTTGCTGCTTGTGTACATAACAGTACACCTCGTGTGCGGATAGAGCCTTGCTCCTGAGCCTGGCATGCCCAGGAGGGTGTTTTCTCCTGAGCATTTAGGAGTGTAGGTGAGAACACTGTTCTAATTTTGTCTCTTCATACCCCAGAAAACTTCAGATGCTGGTTTTAAAGTTTTGATTCACCAGGCATTAACAGCCTGCTATTCTAGATGGTTTAATTATGTGCAGACAGTAATTAATAATAATGAATATTTTTAAACTGTGGGTTTTCTTCCTCTTTTAATCTCTAACATAGTGGCACTTTTATGGATAGAAAAGACCTGCAAATGACAAAGTCAACCCAGTCACCTGCCGCAGCCCCTTAGTTGTTGGGCACAGGGACACTGGAAGGAGAGGGGAGGCGAGGAGGGCATGACGGAGAAGGAGCTGGGGAGCCCACCACACAATTCTGCACATGTGGGGACGGGAGAAGACGAGGCTGCCCAAATGGCTCTGACAGCAGACAGCCACCCTGCCCACTACGGAGGGCACTGAGGCCTTTCTGTATGTGAGTAAATGTGTCCACTGGCCAACTTGTGGCTTTTTAATATTTTAGGGGACTGCGAGCTTCGTGAAGGCAGGGGCAGTGTCTGTTTTGGTCCCTGGAATATCCTAAGTGCTGAGCTCTGTAGTGTTCAGCAGTCAGTCATCCATTGAGTGAATTAATGAATGCATTAATGAGCGCCATCGTGTGCTGAGGCCAAGAATAGCCGTGCTTTCGGAGATGGAGCTTTAACAAGGTTTGGTCAAGTAAGATTGTGATGTCACTTGTTATGAGGTTTCAAGTGCTTCCAGGCCCTTGTGGTCCGAGGATGCAGGGCTTGCCCAAGAGAAGCAGAAGCACGTTTCCCCAGCGCTCTAACTTGGCAGGGCAACCATCCTCCTGAATCTCTTAGAACTACATGCACTGTGCCAGCCCTCAGCACTGTGTCTGGAGGAAATCATATTATAACTGCAGTAATGTACTCAGATTCTTTGAACAAGCACAAGAAACAATTGTGAGCCACCTTTCTTTATTCTGGGTAACTGAGGAAGTGCTCCTAGGAGCTGAAAAGCAGGGACATCTGGTGTGAGGTACCATGTAGAGAAAAAGGATGGACCCTCAAGACTGCATAGTGACTACCAGGAGAGTTGGCTCCTTAGAAGCAGGAAAGTTCAGGTGCTTCATTGCATCTGCGGCGTCTGCGGCTTCCTGGTCCTGGGGTTAAAGTCAGAGCCTGCACTCTAGGCTACCCTTGTAGAGGCTCTCTCTGTTGTCAGCTGGTTCTTCTTACATAGTAGGTGCAAGAACTCAGAGTTCCCATGAGGAGCTCAGAGTTCCCATGAGACAGATTGCTGTGCTTTTGAGATGCTCAGAAACGTATGACGGTGGCATTGGCACAGGCCACCATGAAATCGTTTTCATTATACAGTCTCATCAAAACCTCGTATTCTCCCTGAAAGGGACACAAGGAAAGCATGAGGTGTGAGATCAACAGAACAGTCAACCATTCAATACATAGTTAATGAGCATCTTTTATTTGCAGGCACTGCTCTAGACACTGAGGATAAAGTTGAACCACACAAACTGAACTTTGCCCTGTGGAGCTTATGAGCTCACTGGGAGAGACAGACAATACACATGATAAGTAGCCGTGTCTATGGTATGTCACATGCTGATGTTACACGGAGAACTCAAGCAGAGATGGGGGTGGATGAGAGTGCTGGGCAGCTCAGAGTAGGGTGGGATGGAGCAAGTGCTAGTTTGCAATTTTAAGTAGGGTGGTCAAGGCAGGCCCTGATGTGAAGGTGACCTTTGGGCAAAGACCTGAAGCAGGTACAGGAGCATGCCATGCTGCTCTAGGCACTGGAGCTCCTGTGTTTGAGGGACAGTGAAGAGGCCAATGGGGCTTCAGGGAGAGGGAATCACATGAGGAGGGAACGGTGATGAGGCCAGGGATGGCCTCCCCAGCCACAGTGGGGATGCTGGCTTCCACTCTGAAAGGGACACAGGTCATGAGACTGTTTTCCCCAGAGGACTAGTTTGATCTGATTTCATGTGTTAATAGGATCCTGCTGGCTGCCATGTTGAAAGAGACTGTAGGGGGAGAGGGTGGAAACAGGAAAAGCAGGTAGGAGGTGATTGCAATAAGCCAGGTGAGAGATGGTAAAGATTTGGAGCAGATGGTTGAGATGGAGGTGGGAGTTGGATTCCTGATAGGTTTTGAAAGAAGAGCCAATAAGATTTGCGGAGGAAACCCATGTGGGTGGGGGAAAAAGAGAGGAGTTAAGGGTGACTCTAAGGATTTTGGCCTGAGCAACTGGAAGGATCAAGTGTCATTTGCTGACACAGAGAAGACCTCTGGGGGAGCAAAATTCAACTGCATGAAACCAAAATGCTCTATCAGAAAAAACATTGCTGCCTTTTAGGGTTCCTTTCTGGCTACAACACTCCACAGAGGAATCCCTTTGTCTGTGTTTTGTGGAATTGCAGAAAGAACCCAGGGTTGAGCCACATCTGTTTTGCTCCCAGCTGAAGCCCTGCCCAACCCCCACAGGCCTACGTGGTAACATGTCTATTGATTCAGCAGTCTGGAGGAAAAAGCTTGGGTGGGGAAGGTAGTGGTGAACAGAGCAAAGGGCCCAAGAGGAAAGGATGCATAAGATACTCCTGGCACATCTTTGATGTGCTTGGCACTTGAGGAAGGAAAGGGATTGAATCTGTGTAAGTCAGGAGGAAGAAATGAATCAGACCACTGGGTAAAAGTTGCATGAGAGGGGCTTTTTGTAAGAACTTTCTAGCAATTAGCAGAGGTCCAGGATCAGGCAGGTTCTCCACCACTGAAAACTATATTCAAGATACCCGGGCTCCGCTCTGGAAGGTGTCTGGGAATGAGGACTGATTAGAGAGCCTCAGGCACCATTCAGCTTGAGGAATCTGTGCTGTATAGGTTCCTGTGGGTCTGATGGCTCAAATATCGAGCAGCTCTGAGTTCAGAAACAGTGTTAGGAATTTAACCAAAGCAGTGTAAAAGTTAGAGAATTAATTATGAGTAAAGGCCAGCTCAAATTTGCATCTGATTGTGTTTAATTATCATCATCATCTACTTTTCTTTTAACTCTCAATGTGCATTTAGGTACACACGCTACAAAATTATTGAAAACCACATGAAGTTTTCATTATTGCTTTTTAAGCCTAAGAAAAGATGTAGTATTTAATGGAAGGGCTTCTAGATTATGAATTACAAGCTATACATACTCTGGTTTAGGAGGCAAGGGTGTTTAGGCAACTGTGCCCATCTATAAGCATGTGAAAGTGTGTGCTAGAAGACAGGAGAGGCAGAGAAGGGACAAAGGACAGAGAACAGTGGTCTTGAGATGAGAAGAGCTCTGACTTTGTGAATTAGGAACTTGTAAGGCAGTTCAGGCTGTACCTACAAGCTGTTGTCCTTGTGCTTTGGAAGCCCAAAGATCTCTAAACTCTAATTTAGAGTTTTCTGATTTCTAATTTTCTCATTTAGAAAACAGCAGTTATTGACAGATGCAAGGCTCCAGGCAGGGCTGCAAACTGGGCCAAGGGGTTTGTTGTGTTAAAAAGTAAGGAATACCAAGACACTGAAGATTGGCTGCTGAGTGAAAAAGTTTCCAGCCAAGCAGGTACAGAATTAGCACAGAGAACATCTCCAGGGATTTGGTGGGAGAAGAGAATCTTTTAAAACCAAAAGTCTTCACACTGTCTCTGTCCCATATTAGGAAGCAAAGTCTCTGAACCTTGTTGGCTGGACATCAGCCAAGGAAGCCTAAGCTGCCTGCAGTTGGTCCTCGGCCAACATGGGAGCCGAAGTGGGGATTAAGGCCTCCAGCTGCCTCTGCTGCTTATGTGACAGGTCGCATGTGTCCCACTTGGGCTCTGTCCCCTGTCGGGTCTGGCCAGCGTCAGCAGGCTGGGGTGGGGTCAGTGCTGGCCAGGTTTCTGCTTCCCAGGCCCAGGCTTCAGAAGGGGAAGAGGCAGGAGGACAAGGCAAAGAGAGTCTGGATGCTTAACCACCCAGGCTTAGGGCCTGGCGTCTTTGCCCTTACATTGAGCAACAATCTCATTGGGCACTGTGACTGGCTGAAGAACATAGGTACCTCCCTCATCCAAGCATCCTGGGTGATGGCAATAAAGCTTTTTGTATCTCTGGTAAATTTTTTTTCAAAGGGATTCTATGACTGTTAAGAAGTTATTTTCTCCTCTATTTCGTTGGAATTGCTAAAGGGAGCTGGTTTCTAAAAAAAAAAAAAAAAAAAAAAAAAAAAAAAAAGCCAATAATGCAAAGTGAAAATCAATTGTTTGCAAATTTTAAGTCAATCTCCAGTGGGGGTGAGGGTCAGAAGGAAAATGGGAAAGAAAAAGAATTCAAATAGCAAAGATTTAAAGAAAAAGAAAAATCTATCTGGAGAATTTAAGTCCCACCTTCTAGAAGTGAAGAGAGTTCGCAAAACTCATATTATACTGAAAGGCTGCAGAGAAAACGAGAAGCCCCAAGGGGGAAGGGGAGGTGGGAAACATCCCAGTCGCTAGAGCAATGCTGGTGAAAGTCCCAGATGATCTAGAGACATGTGGTTTTAACCTTAAGAACCCAGAGGCTGGGCTAGAAGGGAAATATACAGGAGAAAGGAAACCAAATTAAACAAATTCTTCATGGGGGAGGAGACCCGTTTCCAGAGCCATATACAGGTTTTGGAGGAAGGAAAGGATGACATTGAAAAAAAATTAAAATTATTATATTTTTGTGATTCTTTTTATATTGTTCCATAAGATTCTCTCAGGAGTAACACACTGAAGATTTATTGCTTATGCCAGAGTTGCTTTAATTCAGCCATCTAATAAAGTCACATTATTTTGAGAAAAAAGGAATTAGTAGAAACTTCTGCTCTTAGCTGTGAGGCTCGCAAGTGAATGCTCAGGACATGGACGTTTGATTTACTTGGCAGCAGCCCATGAATAATAGTGCAAGGACAGTAACTGGGGGACCTGTGAGCCCTCATGACTGTGTTTCTTCCTTTTTCTGAATGGCCAGCCTTACTGAGTGCTAGTGACAGCAAGCCTGTGGCTGCCTCCCACACCCCAGCAGATCCAGCCATATGGACAGCCCTGCAAGGACAGGGTGCCTACATCCCTCCACATGGGGGGTGTCTACCCAGAGGGTCCACAAGGGTCTGACGAGACATAAAATGTCAGATACCAAAATGACCAAACCAGTGTGTCAAGCATTTATAAAGGCCCACTATAAGGACCAGCTGTATTGAGAAAGGGTTTTCTTAGTGATGGCCGATGGAAAAGGTTTAAACTGTTTAATTCCCTGCTGCTCTTTCTTCTCTCCCTCTTCCCCTTCTCCTCCTCCACCACCTCCTCCTTCTTCTGTACTCCTTCTTCAAGAACCTGCTCAACACAATAATTAACTAACAAAACAAAATAGAGAAACAAAACCTTACCTTGGGAATTTCAAATCCAAGATTGTTGACAGGGCCAGCATAATAAATCTGCTCTGGAATATATACAAAACATATATAGTATATTCAACCACTTAAAACAAAAATGATTTTTCCTATTATCTGTGCTCATTGTGTCCTGAGGATCCAGTGATTAAGAAAAAGAAGCATGCAGGTAATGTGAGAGAGGTAGATGGTGTGATGGCTAAGAGGCTAGGCTGAAGCGGGGTTGCGCAGGGTGAAATCGTGAGACCATCTCTGACAACTGTTTGACCATGGACTGTTATAATCTCTTTGGGTTCAATTTCCTCATTTTTAAGATGGGTATAATAATGACAATAACTGTGCCCACTTCATCAAGCTGTGAGGAATAAAAGAGCTAATCAATGTAAAGCACTAATAACAATGTTTGGGAAATACTTAATACATGTTTGCTAAAAGTATGAACTGGGAGATGCCACGTTTGATAGGATGGCTGGTCAGGGAACACATCTCTAAGCAGATGATATTTGAGCTAAGCCTCAAGGGAGGAGAATGAGGCAACCATTTAAAGAGCTGGGAGAAGAGGACTTCAGGGCATCAGAATCAGAACAAAGGCTCTGATAGGGATAAGAGTTTGGGAAGTTGGAAGGACAGAAGGGAGTTGGGTGTGCTGAAGCACAGTGAGCCAAAGAGCCTGTGTTGAGAAGAGACTGAAAAGATTGAGGGGAGACAGATATTTTAACACCTTGAGGACATGGAAGGAGAAAGGTGGCAGAAAGTCAATGAAAATACCTAATTTATGTTTTATTTTTATTTATTATTATTATTTTTTTAGCTGAGACATCCTGCCACCTGTTGGCAGCTCAATGGCAGCTCAGCTCATGCAGGACTCAAACCGCTGTTGTTCAGAGCTCACACTACTGAACGAGCTCTTAACCAACTGAGCCACTCGGCCGGCCCGAATATGGGAGTTATTAATATGTATATGGTGATAAAGCCATAGGACAGGATGAGACTCCCCTTGGGAAAATAGAATTAATAGGCAGAGAAGGGGAAAGGGCCAGAACAACTCCTGAAGCCCTCTAACATTCATGAATGCAGTAGAACAGAAGCCAGCCAAGGAGACCAAGAAGGAATGGCCGTGGAGTAAAGGGCAACCAGAAGTGGGATCAAAGAAGCCAGATGAATGTTCTTCAAAAAACGAGGGTCTGATCAGCTGTGTTGAATGCTGCTAAGAGTTTAAGAAATTTGCAGTAGATTTTGCAACATGGATGTCATTCAGTGACCTTGACAAGAACACTGGAGCAGTGAGAACAAATGCCCAAAAGGGATGGGTTGAAGAGTGATATGGAGGTGAGGAAGTAAAAAAGTTTTGTTATAGAGAGAAGCAGAAAAAATGGATGATACCTACAGATGGGTGTGGGGTTAACAGTGGGTTGTTTTTTATTTAAGATGGGAGATACTGGACCATATTTGTCATTTGAAGGGAATTATTTTGTAGAAAGATTGATCATGCAGAAGAGAGGGAATAACTAAAGGAATGAAGTGTTTCAGAAGATGGGAGGGGAGGGATTTTTGCCTTTGAGAGGAGCACTAAGATTTCTCCTGTAGTTATGGAAGAGAAAACAGAACAGAATAGGTTCAGTTGTAGATAGATTCATAGATTTTCCAGTGGGCCAATGGCAGGGCTGCAGTCTGATTACTTCTGTTTTCTCAGTGACAGTCATGAGCAAAGAGATAGGGGAAATTGGGGGTGAGGATGTGGTCCATTGAGGGGCAAGAAGATGGTATACAGTAGTTATCTTGGACAGTGAGGAAGACATTTAATTGAAAAGAACACTGAGGGCCAGCAGAGTGGTGTGTTGGTTAGGAGTTGGCTTGGGATGCCAACTCTGAGCAGCAGGGCCCCAGTTTGGATCCCACATGAGGGCCAGTGATGCTGCACCCTCTACAACTAAGATGGTCATCAACAACTCCACCTGGAGCTGGGCTGCAGTGAGTCACCAGTGACGGCATAGGCTGCAGTGGGGCTGGCCAGTAGCTAGTGTGCACTTTCGTGAGCTGCCATGAGCCGCCGTGAGCCACCAACATGAGTGGCCATCCAATGGCCGGTGAGCGACTGCCTCAGCCGGGAAGAGTGCAATGATTACAATACCAACATGGGCCAGTGAAGCGACGTCCTCCACAACTAGACTGAAGAACAAAAGGACAGCAACTTGTCTGTTCCCCTTCCCCAATTCCAAAATGCTGTCCCCCTCCCCCAATTCACCAATAAAATCTTTAGAAAAGAAAAAAAAAAGAAAAGGACACTGGGATTGCTAGGCAGTGTTGAGTGCTTTGTTTTGATGTTTATGGCCATCAATTTAAAGATACTCTGGTGTTACTACATGTCTATTTTCTCAGAAACATTCAGTAGCTCTGATGCAAGAATAGAGAGGGTAGGTGGTTAAGATGGAGTTTTGCTGGACAAAAACGATAAGGATAGAAAGGCAAGCGTGCTGGTAATAGATGCAGGAGAAAGCTTATAATAATAGGCCATGGAATCTAAGCAAGGTAAGGAGGAAATTGAAGGCAGGAAGGATTGAGTGATAGTAAAAACAGTGATGGAGTCCGTTGAAAGGAGTTTGTAATCAAGGTCCTAGAATAAATGAGCTGGAAAGATACGGTGAAGCCAGGGGGCAGAAGTCTTGACACTGAGATTTCAGAAATGGTGAATTTACTGGTGATGACAAGATGCAGGGTTGACAGGAAAGACAGTGGTTGAGGTGAAGTGATGGAAATGGTTGTTGGAAGATAGGAGGTCAAGATGCTGAGACATCATGGCGCTGGGTGGACCATCCATGTCAATACTGACGTCAGCAAGAAGGACGGAACCTTTCCCAGCTCCCAGAAGGTGACCGCCTTCTCTGTGACTTCCCAGCATTGTGTACATAACATATTATAAGAAAAGTGGCTGAGAGTGCAGACTCTGGGGCCAGACTATCTGGGCTGAGCTTGAATCTTGGCTCTTCTTCCTACTAATGGGGCAAGTCACCTAACCTTTCTGTGCCTCAGTTCTCTTATCAGGAAATGGGGGTGATGATAGTATCTACCTCAAAGGGTTGTTGTGAGCTTCGAATGAGTTAACATATGTAAAACTTTATTATAGCACCTGGGACATGATAAGCACTCAGTAAGTGTTTGCCATTAATATAGTCACTCGCCAATTCATACTACGGGGCATCCATCTGACACGGGCCAGGCGCTATTCTAGGTGCTGGCTACAATAGTAGACAAGAATATTATGTGAACCATTTGAATCGTTGGCCACCTGAAATTGTAATCATTTGTTTACAGTGCTGTTTCCTTCACTGGCCTGGGATTCAGTGCCTTCTTGTTTACATGATCCCCAGTACATTGCACAGAGTCTAACATACAGCAGGGTGCAATAAATAGTTACTGGATGAGGTTCTTGAATGAACAGATCCAGAGTCAGGACATGGGTTTGCCAACTAACTTCATTCCTGCTTTTTTTGTTTGTTTGTTTGTTTTTTTAGCTGAGCCATCCTGCTACCTGTTGGCAGCTCAGCGGCTGCTCAGCTCGGGCTGGACTCGAACCGCTGTTGCTCAGAGCTCAAACTCTTGAGCGAGCTCTTAACCAACTGAGCCACTCGGCCGGCCCCTCTTCATTCCTGCTCTTGCTATGATAATCCTCTACCTGCTGGAAGGGTCCAGGTCTGGGATGCGCTGACACAAGACAGTGGATCATCTGATGATGAGGGTGGAGGGATGCTGAAGGAGGATGGAGGTGAATACATGCTGATGGGTTTATTGATGGTTTTAGGTAGTGAGCTCCTTTAATGGCACTGCTTCACACAGCACCTGGCACTTCACAGCGGCTCAATAAATATTTGGAGACAGATCAAACTCCCCTTAAAAGGGGCTTTCGGCCAGGGGCAGCATGGCTGGGGCATGAGCAGCTGCCCACATGGAACAATACCGGAAGCATGAGAATAATCCCCTTTTAAAAAGACCTCCCCAGGGCAATTTGAGACTGAATTTCTACCAGGAGACCCTTCTTAGCATAGACTTTGGCTTCTGTTAAATGTCTATGTCCTCAACACATCTATCCTTACTTCCCATGGTCAATTCCTGGTACTTTGCCAGGATCACATGGAAACATCGCGTGTGACAGGTGGACGACACGCCTATTTCATTGCACTGAATACACTGGTCCATTCATTTATATATATATATATTTATATATATATATATATATATATATATATATATATATATATATATATATATTTTTTTTTTTTTTTTTTTGGCAGGAACCTGAAACTATCTTTTATCACAAATTTTAACCTGCAAGAGACTAGGGAGTGATGTGGTGGATGGCCTGAGGGGTAGTACTCAGGTTAGCTTTCTTCTTGGCCTGCACCTCCAGGATGCTCTCCATGTAGTCCTTGTGGGTGAGCTCCATGGTGCCCTTCGTGGTGCGGTTGTGTCTGCCTCTGCACACATGGCCTGTGCTGGGCCTTGCTGAAGTCATTCGCACAGTGGGCCAGCTCCTCACAGTTCACATCAAGACTAATGTTTATCTTTTAGGAGTGGCTCCACATGATTCAGGCCGGGGCCTCCTCATTGGGCATTGGGAACTCAACCTTTGTTTGGTCCAGGAGGCCTGAGCAGAGCAGGGTGGGCTCCAGGATGTCACCCTGTTAGTGGCTGCAATTCCCTTTACTTGGGTGTTGGGCTGGAACACATCCACCTGGTTCAGAGGCTGTAGCATTGTTCCCTGCACCCTCCGGTCCCCGGCCTTCTCACTGTCAGAGCGTTTGGCACTGATGGCACCCAGCTCATCAGTGAAGATGATGGACGATGAAGCTTTCACCTTGGTCAGGCAAAGGCATCACAAACCAACTTGGCACCATCCCTGCTGAATATTTGCACCAGCTGGGGGCCAGCAGCTTCAGGAAGGTGGCCTTCATCTGTGCAGCACAGGCCTGGGCCAGCAAGGTCTTCCTTGTACCCAGGCGCCTCTATATCAGCACCCCCTTTGGAGGGTGGATCCCCAAGTTCTCAAAATTCTCCTT